GCGCGCGCGACGTCTTCCGCGGCTTCGCCGCCGTCGCGGGCACGAGCCTCGGCGCGTTCTGCCCCCGTGACTTCGACGCCCTCGACGACAGCGGCGTCGAGGCCATCGCCGACGTGCTCATGGGGGTCGAGCACGGGCGCTGCTGGCCCCACTTCATCAGCAAGCTCGTGTTCATCAGCAAGAGGGAGTGTGGCGTAAGGCCCATCGCCCTCCTCGCCGCCCTGGTCCGCGCCCACGGGGCCGCCTGCGGCGAGACGTCGCGGCCGCTCGGGGGAGGGCCCACCCTGGGGCCTTCTGGCGGGCCTGCGCAGGCAAGGCCTGCGAGCGCGCGGTTTGGCAGCAGCTGGCCTGGAGCGAGTGGCTCAAGGCCAAGCGCGGCGAGAGGCCCGACCTCGACTGGGGCTCGGCGGCTGTCATCCTAGATCTGTGGAAGGCCTTCGAGCAGCTGGGGCGCCAGCACCTCGCCGACGCCGCCGTGCAGCACAACTTCCCATGCGCGGGCGGTGAAGCTCCAGATCTCCCTCTACCGCACGCCGCGGGCGCTGGAGCTCAACGGCGCGGTCTCGGACCTCATCGAGGTGCAGCAGGCGGTCCTCGCCGGGGGTATGTGGGCCACCTTCTGCATGGAGCTCATTCTCCTCAGCCCGCTCGACCGCGCCCTGCGGGCCTCGCCGAGCATCGCCCCGTCGGTCGTGGTCGAAGACCTGGTCTTCCAGCGGGTTGGAGGCAGCAGGCGCGCGACCGACGACCTCGTCGCCAGCGTCGCCAGCGTCGTCGGCGAGCTGCGCACGGTCGACATCCACGCGGCCACCAAGAAGTCGCTCCTGCCGGCCGACGCGCCCGCAGCGGCCGCGGCGCTCGTTACTGCAACTAGTTGATTGACCGCGCGAGGGGGGGGGGGAAGCCCAAACCACATTTTTAGCACCCCCGGGGCGCGTTGTCTGAATTGCCGGGGGGGGGGGGGGGCTCGAAATCGACGCCCCTCACGCAGATCCGCGGGGTCAGGGTCCAAAAACACAAGGGATTTGCCACATTTCTAAAATTCGGCGCCACCCTTCACGCAGATCCGAGGGGTCAGGGTCTAAAAACACACGGGATTTGCAACATTTCTGAAATTCGGCGCCACCCCTCGCGCAGATCCGCGGGGTCAGGGTCCAAAAACACATGGGAGTTGCCACATTTCTGAAATTCGGTACCACCCCTCGCGCAAATCCGCGGGGTGGTCAGGGTCCAAAAACACATGGGAGTTGCCACATTTCTGAAATTCGGCGCCACCCTCACGCAGATCCGCGGGGTCAGGGTCCAAAAACACATGGGAGTTGCCACATTTCTGAAATTCGGTGCCACCCCTCGCGCAAATCCGCGGGGTGGTCAGGGTCCAAAAACACATGGGAGTTGCCACATTTCTGAAATTCGGCGCAACCCCTCACGCAGATCCGCGGGGTCAGGGTCCAAAAACACATGGGATTTGCTACGATTCTGAAATTCGGTGCCACCCCTCACGCAGATCCGCGGGGTCAGGGTCCAACAACATGGGATTTGCCACATTTCTGAAATCCGGTGCCGCCCCTCGCGCAGATCCGCGGGGTCAGGGTCCAAAAACACAAGGGATTTGCCACATTTCTGAAATTCGGCGCCACCCCTTCAGCAGATCCGCGGGGTCAGGGTCCAAAAACACAAAAGGGATTTGCCACGTTTCTGAAATTCGGTGCCACCCTTCACGCGCATCCATCGCAGGGCGTGGTAACCCAAACTGCGAGAACTCCCTCGGCCCTTTAATCGCAAGGTGTGGTAACCAAGCCCGTAAACCATACACGTCTTACTAATCGCCAGGCGTGGTAACCCCTCTTGTGATCAGTTGGTTTTTCTGATTGCGAATCGACTTCGCATGAAGTTTCGATACTGCTTCACGACAGCGCCAAGGCCTCATTACTTAGCTCTTCCATGGCCCATTCTCCGAGAGAGGGGGCCAGCGGCAGGGGGCGAAGCCCTTACGGATAACGCAAGCGAATGACGCCCAACGAGTCGGCGACCTGGAAGTCAGTGACCACGTCGCGCGTGTCATCTGGGATGCGAGCGCGATTGGCAACAGAGTCTGTAATATGGCGCACACTGGCATACCACCACTGCCCGAACAATATCCCAACCTGTGTGAAGGCCACATTCACAACGTCCTCGAGCGTGATCGTCTTATCAGGAGCCGTCACCTGGCTCCAGCACTCCATTGCCATATTTGAATAGAAAGCTCCGTGCATGCGGACAGGGTTGGTAATTCGGGCATGTTGCAAGAATGCTTTCAAAGCGTCCAGATGCGCCAGGTAGTTGTCGTCCGGGCTGGCCTTCTCGCCAACATCGTCTACATCTTCCCCGTGTGCGCCCTGAGCGATCTCAACGGTGGCGCCTTCCTCATCCTCGGTCACTCTAGTGGCAGCCAGTAGCAGACTCACGCCCGACTCCAGTGCAGTCTTGTTGATTCCGTCGTGAACGGCCGCCTTGAGCCCCCCACGAAGTCCTGAGCAAGTTGTGAGTTTCTATCACCGAAGTGCGACTGGCCCAGCATTGAAGCAGAAGCCGAGGGCGATGGAGCAGGCGCTCTTCTTGGCTGTCATCTTGATGCCCGCCAGTTCTCTTTGAGACTCGGCTTCTGAACTCTGGGACTGATGCGTGCCTTGGGACTGGGCGGCCTGGGATTCGGACTCTGTCGTCGGCGCCGCGAGCACGCTGTTGATGGACCCGACCAAGTCTTCAAGCCAGAGCTCCTCTCGAGTAGTAATTGCCCCAGGCTGCTCGTCGACGTCGTCAACAGTAGCTGTGTGAACTTCAGATGGCTGGGCAATCGTCTCAGGGGCGCCCTTTTCTCCTCTTCATGGGCCGCTGCGTCACGGCCCCGGGCTTGGCGAGGTTTTTGAAGGTCGTGGATTCGCCGATCTTCGTCGCAAGCAGGTCCAAGAGTTCGATCTCGCCGTCCTTGCAGCCTTTGAATGTCCACGGCGCATCGCGCGGGCAGTAGCACGTACCAGTCGAAGAGCTGGAGGCGGCAGTCGAAATAGGCACTGCGTGCTCCACGAACTCTCTTGGGACTTCTTGGAGTCTCGTGGACCGTCTTGAAGCTCTCTTGGGCCGTCGTGGAGCGCTCCTGGACCGTCTCGGTGCCTCTTGGACACTCTGGAACCGTCTTGGAAATCATCTTGCACCTTCTTTGGCCCGCTTGGAGACCATCTTGAAGTCATCTTGGGCAATCCCGGGTCCATCTTGCGCCGTACTGTTGGACTATTTGAGGGCGTCCGGAGGCCTTCCAGGAGCGAGACCACGACGACGTCGATCACATCTCATTGTTGTGAGGATGTCCGTCGCGAAATCGCAATGTTGGGCGAGAACCGCGGCGAGAGCGCTGTTGACTACGTCCCATTTGTGTGAGGGTATCCCTGGCGAAATCGTCAGGTTGGGTGGAAATAGGGCGTGGCCCCCAAGAAGGGTCTGAGAGAACCGTCATGAAAGCCCGACGAGATATCTCCTCTTCTTCGTTCTCCCACACGTGTATTCTGATGCATTTCCACAACGGCTGGGCGAACACATGATCCAATAGCCTGGCCAATATCTGGCCACACCGTGTTTCCAATAGGCAGGGGGCGATGGTGATTCGCCGTAGGCGTCGAAGCCGCCGCCCACTGTCGGTGTTTCTACCAGTGGGGCTTAGCGTGCTAGACTCTTTACAATTTAAGCGACATTTTAAGAATTCCCGGTGATCTTCGGCTTGACACGCCGGCCATACGGAAACACCCAGGCGGATCTTCATGCCCGAAAATCGAAATCCAAGACGGTCAAGAGTGCCTCCAAGACGGTTCAGAAACGCCTTCAAAGAGTTCAGATGGACTCCAAGACGGTCCTAAGACGGTCAAGATAGCCCCTAGACGGCCCAAAATGCCTTCTAGGCGGCTCAAGAGGACCGCAAAAAAGATTGATGTTCCTCTGATTCCCCAACCAACGATTTCAACGTCTTAGCCTAGGTTCTAGCCACTTCGGGCTTCCGACGATTCCCCATGGGTGCCCAAGACGTCCCAAGCCCAAGAGGCCTCGAATAAGCTTGCAAGACAGACCAATGGGGCCCCGAGACTGGACCAAAGATGGCCGCAAGACGGCCCCACTGACCCTTCAAGACGGTCCGAAAGCTACCAAAGAGGGACAAACCACTGCCCAGAGAGGCCCCAAAACGGCCTCTGAAAGCCAAGAGGTCCTCAAAAGCCCCCCAAGGCCCCAGAGAGGCTCCCAAGAGGCACCAGGAGTCCATCCAGAGACCCCTCAGAGGCCCCCAAAGGCTCTCAAGAAGCCCCCAGGAATCCACAAAACAGACTTGCAATTTGGTGGACACCCATCCCTTTCGAGATTTTTGTTAGTCTGCTGCCACACTCGTCCTGCACCAGCAATCCGGTTTATTGAGGTAGTTCCTTGACTTATGGGAACAGTCATGGAGGATGTGGCGGGGGTGGACATGTACCTAGCAAAGTCCTGAACTGCGCATTGTATGTCTGCCGAGTCCAGTCTGGTGTTGGGACTACCTTTGCCCGCATCCCCCCTCACCACCCTCTCCTCTCCTCCCCCTCTTCTGTCAGCCCTCGTCCCCATCCCCCCCCTTCTTACACCTCCTTTCTTACACCTCCTCCCTCTCTCTCTTCCCCTCACCCTTCTCCTCCCCATCCCTCTCCTCTTCTTCATCCAGACCAGACTACCAGGTCTGCGAGCGGGCCGTCATTGATCAGTTCTGTTCCTGGTGCGGATCATGGCTAAGCTGAGGGACTGCCAATGGGAGACACCCGTTGTTCGGGGCGCACACCAATTCGCAGCCTGCTGTGGGAATTGATAGGTAAGGGCCCGCCCTGACTATAGCAGTGTCCTCCTCCTCCTTCCCCCTCCTCCGCCTCCTCCTTCTCATCCTCCTTCGCTTGACAACGGCGGAGGAGACGACGGCGGCGACGATGGCGGCAGGCCGCTGCGGCGCGCTCCCGCGTGGGAGCCAGGATCAGCGCCTGACAGGCCTCGCCGGCGGGTCGACTCGGGGAGGGGAGGCATGGGCAACGTTAGGAAAGTCAGGGGCACCGAAGTCTCGAGGTTTCGAGGCTTTCCGACGAGTTCGTCACTTCTCGTCGCTTTTCCAGCCTCGGGATGGCTTCCGTTGGCGAGCATTCCAGGGATGCCCAGATCGTCCCGAGCGGCGGCCAGAGGCCCGAGGCAAGACCCGAAAACCATCAGGGGACGAGCTAAGGAGGGAAACATCGACCTCGCATCGGCGAAACATCGCCGCTAGATCGGCGATAGACTCCCGATAGCGAATCCCCCTCTTCTGCCATCCTTTCTACTGGTTCTGTTGTATTCACCGGTCCTGTCTAGAGCGGACTTGTGTTTGGGAAGGGTTGGATACGTCTTGGGCAATTCTGATCGCGACAGGCCCTGCACCTCTGGTGAGGTGCAGGGCGCCTCCAAGGGCCGACACACCGTGACGCGCCGCGATCACACTGACTGGAGGAGTGGGAGGGGGAGGAGCGGGATGGGAGAGGGAGAGGAGAGGAGGATCGAGGCTCCAGGGTCGATGTTCGAGGCCCCTTTGAGGATCTAGGAGGAGGATCGAGGAGGGTTGAGGAGGATCGAGGATCGAGAGGATCGGGGAGGATGGGGGTCTAGAAGGATCAACTCGAGAAGGATCGGGATCGAGTAGGGTCGAGGAGAATCGAGATCGAGAGGATCGATTAGACCCCGGAGGCGAATCCCACGGTCCAGGGGGGCGGGGAATATCGGGCTCCTGTGACCAAGATCAATGAACGATTCGGGGTCGATGCATCCGCCCCTGAGCCCCCCCCCCAATCTTCCCGCTGACCCCCGCGGCGCGGGCTCCCCCCCCTCCCCCCGCAGGGTCGCCGCCTTGATGCCATAGTCGATGCGCTGTAGGCAACCTGTCTGGTGGTGCCCCGCCGGGGCCCCCTCCGGCCCCCCCGCTCGCTTCAGCGCCAGAAAAAGAGCGATGCGCACATGCAGTGATTCCTTGTTCGGCTACACGCTACACGCGAGGGTGGCCCTGGGCAAGGGGGGCCTCTGGTGCGCGGCTTGCCGATCGTTGCATGCGATACGACAGTGGCAGTCTGCGAGCTTAAGTCTGGCCCCCGGCAAACCCCGAAAACCGCGCACCGAAAATCACTGTGGCGGGGGGTCGCTCTTCCGTGAAGCCGCATCCTGGCCAAGCTCATCCTGAGGGACCACGATGAGTGCATCCGAGTGTTTGGCTTTATCAGATAATCAGGGAGGCACACACACACACACACCGATCTTAGGACAAGGATGGGCCTGGCCCGGATCGGCGCAACTCAGTGAACCACGAGGAAAAAACACTGGGTCCTGAAGGTTCTCGAGCCATTTCCCCCAAACAGACGCTCCGGATTGACAAACGGCTCCTGAGAAAAACACCCAGGGCCTCCAGACCGAGCATTCCTTTGCTTCATGCCAGGCGGAGGAGGGCACGAGGCGAGGATACCGAACCTACGTGTCTGCGACCCTCTGGGGGCCAATAGAAACTCCTGGAGACATTCGACAGCCGGCGAAGATTCTGTATTTCAGCAGCTGTGACCCCTCTGGAGGCCTGCGGAGGCCTTCAGATGGAGGGAAAGAACCTGGTGACCAAGAACAAGACTGAACGCGGAAACGCCGCTGCCGACCTTGGTCACCGTCCACCTCGGTCACCGTCGTTTCGTGGATCCGCGTTGCAAAGCGGCGACGGCCAGCATGGACCATGACCATGACCAAGATAGGTGTCGACAAGATCCCGCGGCATCTTGATCATGGCCAGTGTGCCTGTCGGCAAATTATGAGCGATTGGGGGGTCGATGCTCCTCCCCCTATGAGCCTAGTCCCCCTCCCGACGCTGCCCCCTGGCTTTCGGGTCACAACTCGGCTCTGTGGCGGCCGTTCGGGACGTTTCGGGTACCCCCGAAACGCTCTCGGCGAGGCGCAGCCGCTGAAAACCACCCCGAGGCTGTAAAAACGCCGACAAGCTTATACTAAAACGCCCGAAAACCTCGAACCTCGAACCCTGAGCCCATCCCCCGCTTCACTTTGCCCCTGAAGAGAGGCCTCCGCCTCGCGTTCAGGGCGGGATCAATGGGCGATGGGGAGTCGATGCGCCCCTCCCACGGCGAAGCCAGGGCAGGGACAACATCGAACAGGTGAAATCGGGGACCTCGTATTCAATTTAATCCTAGAATTACAACCACGATAAGCAAGCTCAACAGCCTGATGCTCAAGAGGTCAGAATGCACACCTCACACATCTGTATGTTTACGCATTGCTATGCAAACGATATGTCTTGGCAAGATACGCGTCGAGACTGGAACGACATATATGCGATCGACAAGCCTGGCGGCGGGAAAGCGTGCTAGACCGGTATCTGACATCGGGAATCTCTGGGCTCCAACGGTTCCGAAAGACATGTCGGGCGCCGCGGCCTCCTCAGAGCGCCCCAGAGCGTTCCGAGGGCGTCCGGGAGCGCTCTGGAACGTGGTTTCCCCTGCACCATGGCCCCGCCCGAGCCAACCCCGAGTCCCGCTCTGGCGCCCTGCCTCGAGCCTGGCGCGCTCCTCCGTGGCTCGAGCCCCCGCCACGCCGAGCGCGCCCCGCCTCGGAACGGCCGACAAGTCCAGGTGATGTAACTTTCCACGCTGGGCGATTCCGCCTCAGTTTGGGCCCCGAGACCCTTGCAGATCGTCCCAGCTTGAGAGATGGGGCATCAAGATTGGGTCTAGGGCTCCAGTCGAGATGTTTCCCGGCGCTTCCATTTTTTCGCGACGTCGGCTCTCAGGGAACACCCGCCGCCCCCCCCCCCCCCGCTGCCCCCAAAGCCCACGCCAGCGGCCTTCGCAAGCCAGCAACGAACGAATTCTCACATCCGTGCCCTCGCGGTCTGGATGCCGAAGATGGATCCCCTGGATGCGCAATCTTATGGACACGCTCCGCGAGGGGCCTCCCGCGCAAGGCCGCGCCCGTCGGGTCGTGGCCGCCACCCCGGGCGCGCGCTGGGCTGCCAGACAGCATGGGGTTGACCTGCAAGGGGCCAACTTCGACCCCTCTGAGCGTGGTTTCCCTGATTCGCAGAAGTTTAAGAGGAGGATGATGAGGAGAATTAGGAGGAGGAAGAAGAGGAGGACGAACTAGCCTCGAGCTTTAACCCCTATCCCTAAGATTGGCAGGCGGTGACAATCTTATGGGTGCACCCTGAGATACCGAAGAGTCCTTGAGATCGGCGTCGAGGAAAAGGTGAGGCCAATCATGGTGATGATTAGGGACATGCTTCAGGCTGGGCCGGTCGTCCAAATAGGCGACGAGTGGCTCGAGATCTGGAAAGCCAGGACCAAGACGGTGCGCGCCGACATCCTTCGCGGCAATGCGGCGGGCCGTGCTGCCGACTTCCTCGAGAAAGCCCCCGACCCGGCGCAGGCACCGCCGGCAACAGCGGCCCCAACCAGCCGCTGGCCGCAGGCGGGTGGCAGAGGCCGCAGACGCAGTCCACTCGGTCTCACCCTCCCCAGACCCTGGAGCCCATCGGCAGGTCCACATTGACACGGGCCCCCGAGAGGTTCGGCGCAACAGCCCCTGACCGTGGCACTGACGCGCAGCGCCACGCCCGCCCCACCGGCGAGGCGAGACTCCGGCGCAGGACGCACCAGCGGCGGCCGACGCCGACACCCAGGCCCCGCACACACCCCACCGGACTGTGACAACCAAGGCCGGGCGCACCGCACCCGACCCCCGTCCTGCGCACGGGTACGGTCGCGGGTGCGGCAATGGAGGTGAGCAGGGACTCTGGGACCGGTACGAGAGCACGACAAGACGGCGCTCGTCCAGGGACACCAGCGACAGGGAGCGAGCCAGAGAGCACGACCGCGACCGAGACCGCGATCGTGACAGGACTGGAGGTGGGGGCTCCTCGCACAGATACGACGATCGCCGCCACCCTGAGCACAACAGAGATGATCGCCGCCGCCCTGACCACAGCCACCCCTTGGAAGAGCGCCGCGTCAGCTGGCCGAGGCGCCCAGACGAGGCGGCGACCACCCACCTGAAAAGGCTGAAGGCCGAGGGAGCCTTCTGCTTCGCCGCAACCTGGCACTCCTGAAGTAGGCACGTGGGCCACGACAAGGGCAAAAGCAAGGACACGGTCAAATTCGACCCATCCTGCTGGCAGCCCAACATGATCGACCGTTTCCTGGACGACGTGGCACGCAGCCGCTACGATGTGGGTCCCTGGTCCTCGAACGCGGGCGTCTACATCGACTGGGACCGCGAAAACGCCCTGTTCCAGGAGTTCCAGCGGAAGCGGGAGGTGGCCAAAGGCGAAGGGCGCGGGGACGGCCCATCCAGCAGCTCTGCGTCCACGGACAACTGGACCAGAATGCAGCGCCCCAGGCGCTGACTTGTCTCGTACGCTCCTGACTGACCTCGCGGCCCAGGGCGCCCTGCCCTGACCGCCCCTCCTGTCCCTGGCAAGGTCTCTTGGCGTTCTTCTTCGGGTACGACCTGTTCGTCACCTTCTGCAACGCCTGGCCCTGTCTCCCCTTCTCCCTCCCTCCTTCACACCTGATTTAGGGACGGCTGGTCCCTCCTGATTCCGCAGGTTCTACCTGCCTCCGGTGGCTGGTGGGGCCGCCTGGGGGCCGGCGCGGGGTTTCCGCGGCGTTGGCGGGCCCGCTTGGCTGGCCCATCTCCTCCCTGCCCGCTTCTCCCCTTTCCCCGCCCGCTACCCCCCCTCCCGCCACCATGGCGGCCGCGCCTGGCACAGCGCGGCTTCAGCCAGGTGCCCGGCGCTCGCTCGCGCTGGTCCTGTTTCACCCTGCCGCCTCGGCGGCCCCGCGGTCCTGGGCGCAGCGCGGCCCCGGCCTGGCCCTGGGCTCCGCCGACAACAGCAGCGCCCTGGTACAGCGCGGCTTCGGCCCGGTCCTGAGCGCTCGCCCCTGAAGGACAGGACCCGTTCCACCTCCTGCTCCAGTGCACCGGCACCCTGTCGGTCGTCACAGGCGGCATGTTCTTGGCGTGTCCTGACTGCCGCGCCTCAAGTCTCTGCGGCTCCTGTACCCTGTGCAATGGTCCCGCTTAGAACCACTGCCCTGATAGCAATCCTTGATGATGCTACTCTCTTCTCTGCTCTGACCACGTGTCGAGGGTACCGTTGACGGTCGGGTCGAATATGAGGGCAGTGACTGTGCGATGCTGATCGCACTGTGGTGATGAACAGGATCTGTTTATCAGCGGGCAGTTCGCTGTCCTGCGTCTCTCGGACGCACACCAGAAGTCCAGCGTCGCTGAGACGCTGCAAAGGCTTGAGCCAGAACGGTTTCGGATGAACCTGTTCTGGGATATTATAATGGGGATCTCGGAGGATCTCGGAGGGCCTACTAAGCAAGGCTGGCTGCAACCTGGAGGCTAAAGGGGGCCCGATTCGCCGGGAAACGCTTGGCTAACATACATGGGGCTCCTTTGGAGCCTGAAGCTTATATCACGCACGGCCTCTAGAGGCCATCTGTCGTAAGTAGGCTCTAGTGAGGCAGGCTCGGGGCTGTGAATTGCATGCCCAAAAGCTAAAGATCGATGTTACGGCATCGAGACCTGCCTCTGGCAACTGAATTCACAGAAAGCACAGAGCGCGTGAGAGGCTTCACAGTGCCCCAAAGGGCTATATCTCCGACAGGGGTCTCCTGATCGTAGGGATTGTCGCGAGCGAAGTAGATCAGGGCCTCCAGCATCGCTTCATCGTCATCTGCTGATAACGGCTTGCCGTGGTCCAGCCTGTCCATGCCCTCGGTCTTGCGCTTCCTAGCACTGCGGTGCAGGGGGTCGTCCACGAGTCTCCAGCGCTGACCTGACCGGAAGAACTCCAGCAAGACCTTGGCGGCTCGATCCTTGGTGAGGCCGTCGGCTAGCATGGCATCGCTGTGGACCCAGCGTATCTGGAGGGCCGTCTGCTCCTTCTGCTGTCGAATGCCTAGACACTCGATGCTCGTCCGCTTATCACGTAGGCCGAGACCAGCTGACTCGCTCTTCTCGATCGCGTCGTAGCCCGACTTACCGTCTGTGACCAGTACGCCAGGGCAGGATGAGATGGCGTCGTTCACGTGTTGCTTGTTGGTGTAGTCCACTTGGCCGCACTCTAGCTCGTGGATGAACAGGCGCACGTAGCTGATCTCGTCGAGGGTCTCTGTCATCATCTGAACCTCCGCACTCGTACTGCTTCTGGCCACTCGCGGTAGTTTGCATGATCTCCATGAGATAGGCGCTACCGTCTCTGTCGAGCCACTCAGGAAAGACAGTGGGGCCAGCACGATCATCTCGCCACCCTGGGACTCGCCAGTGATACGAGCGGCCCAGGCAGCATCGCCCCAGCCAACCACAGCGATCTGCTCGATGGCCGGGATGAGCATGACCACGTCGGCAGTGTCATTCATGGTGCGGATCAGCTTGTTGATCTTCTGGATGGTAGAGACCGTCGCCGTAGGTATCTCCGCTTGAAGTAGAGAGACTTCTGCACTGAGCCACGGGGCCGACTGCTGAGCTCGCCATCCGACTGTACCAAGTCGGCCTCGTAGATCTGATCTCTCTTTGTCTGAAACTCCTTCCGTGGGCTTGCGTCCACGTCGTATCTTGATGGGCTCCACGTTCAGGCTGTAGCTGTCCTGTGCGAGACTGCAGGTGTAGTCCTCATTCTGTCGAATACTGATGCCGCACTGCACAAACGCTCGGCTCTCCCAAGGTGTCCACTCGAAGGCCTGTTGTATCTTCTGTCGTTTCTTGAGGAAGGCCGAGTTGTGATGGTCGCCTGCGATCATCATGTCGTCGACGTGTAGGATAACCATGCCGACCAGCTTCGTGCCGTCTCGAATGACCCAGACGCACGGCTCGCACTGTATCACCTCCAGCTGCAGCGTCTTGAGCGTGTCCTTGAAATGGAGCCACCATTTGCGAGGAGCATGTACAAATCCGTACATAGGCTTGAGGAACTGCAGGACCTCGTCGTCTTTCATGCCGAAGGCCTGACGCACGTCCTTAGGAGGGTCCGCGTAGATCTTCCCCTTCTCCTCGTCCGTCTCGCCCTGGAGGAAGGCTGTCACTGCATCGGCCTTCTCCAGTTTCCACTTGTGTCTAGCTGCCATGGCCAGTAGAAGTTGACGTGCACGTCTGGAGGCAACTGGTGATTCTGTCCGCAGGTGCAGCAGGTCAGGGTCACTGAAGCCGAGCACGACCAGTCTGGCTTTGCCTCGTAGCGCGTTCCCCTGGTCATCCTTCTTCCAGGTCAGCACGAAGCGGCAGCGCAGCAGGCGCGCCGGGTCGATCCCCTGTCGGCTGAGGATCCTGACGGCCTTCGTGCTGAGGACTGAGGTGCACTCCTTCTGCTGGGCCTCGAGTAGCAGCTTCTTCTCCTCAGGCGTCGCCTTCTTAAATGAGACCTCCACTCGGCCCTTGCGGGCCTGCGATGCCACGAAGTTGCTGGGGTCGTCCAGGTAGGCCATGAACGCATGCTCGTTGCTGACAGGGATGTCCAGCACGATGAGTTCGTCGTTCTCCTTCATATCGTCGTACTGCTGGACACTGTAGGCATAGTCGCTGTAGAAGTTACCCTCCTGCAGGTAGTAGGAGAAGGCCTCCTGGGTCGCAGCGTTGACCCGCTGCTTCTTAGCCGGGGGCTCGGTTGTGCCGGGCTCTCGGATCCGGCGCTTATCGTTCACGTCGGGCGCTGAGATATCGTCGAGGTCATCGTCAGTCTCCGCCACGATGGGCCGCTGCGACGCGCGCTCCTCCTGGTCGTCGCCGGGAGGGGCTTCCATGACGATCTCCTCCTCGATGGGCTGCTCAGCTGCTTCGGGTAGTCCAGCTTCGTGGCCGTCTTCCTGTGGAATGCCTGGTGGAACTTCTGGCTGCGCTGGCTGGATGAGAGGTTCCTGGACCTCGGTCGCCTCGTTCCAGGGATTACCCTTCTTCCTCATACGTCTGGGAGGTCGCGGTCCAGGTAGAGGTCGCTCTTCCAGTCCTGGTGGCGCCGCCAAGGCTCCACCACCTCCGCCGCCTCCGCCGCCTCCTGGGTCAAGACTGCGAGGATCTCCTTGTGGAACAGGACGATCATCGTCCTCAGAAATGGCCCAGGGTCCGCTCGCGTTGCTCTCGAAGGTGCGGGCGCTGACCGATTCACCGTCATCAGCGGCCAAATCCTCGCCAGTGGGCGGGGACTCGTTCGACAAGTCGATCACTTCGTTAGTGTCGAGCTGCTTCTGGACATCGCCGAAGGTCCAGGTCCCCGGCTGCTCGCGGCGCGAGCGTAGGGAGTCCATCGCCTCCTCAGAAGGCGTGGCAGGTCGAAGTTGTTCGGGAGCAACTCGGTAGAGGCGGCCAGCCAGTGTGATATTGACCACCGTCCCAGGTAGACCAGGTCGATGTCCCGAGCTCGCTGGCTCGTGACAAAGTACTCGTCCAGGTCCGTACCAGCGTCCTCGCCCAGGCATTGAGCGAGGCTGTCCCTTCTTGCGCCAGGCCCCTGGTGGGAGCCGTCGGTAGACGAAAACCAGATCGCCCGTCTCGTACTTCTTGAAGGACCTGAAGCGCGCGGCCTCCGCTCGCTTAGCTCGGTCAGAGTTCTCGGTCTGGATGTGAGCCAGCCGCGCCATCCGTCGTACCTGGGCGTCCCTGCTGAAGGTGCCGTCCTGCAGCTCGGCACTGATGAGCGGCAGGTTGTTCGGCTCGTCCGACAGGTTGACTGTCGTCCCAGTCGGCGTCCGTCCCGCATAGCGCTGCAGCGGGCTGAACCCGTCGATCCTGATCAGGTCGTTCCTGGCCGCTGTCTGGAGTCCGAGCATCTCGCTGGTGGGTACTTCGGCTGAGACCATCTCGTCGAAAGCGTCGAGGGCCTCCTTGAAGGCTTCAATGGCACGCTCGATCTTGCCGATCTGCCAGTGGGCGTCGGCCGCGCATGGGAGACAGTAGACTCCCTGGCTCTCGATCCACTCGCGGAACTCGTCGGAGATGGCGCTGCCGGCAGGGTCGTAGCGCATGACCTTCGGGCGTCCCATCCAGGGGAACCATTTTGTAGCAAAGATATGCCGAAGGTCGCCTGCACGAACTTGTCGAGTCGTACCCGGGATCGGCTTCTCGTCGATCAGCCGCACGTAGAGGATGTCCGAGCCGGCGTCGAGTATCGCCAGCGCCATCACGTTCGTGTTCGTGCTGCGGCGGATCCACGAGAAAGCGTCAAAAAGCACCTCGTGACCGTTTTGGGGCTGCTCTGCTGATGAGGCTGGTGGCCGCTTAGTAGGTGGTCGATGTGCGTCACAGATGTCGCACTTGAAGGTTCTGGCCAGACGTAGCACCTCTGGTCGAGCGCCACGGTCGCGAAGGTATCGCAGTAGATGAGCTCGAGGTAGGTGTCCGAGGTTGGTATGGACCAATCTGATGTAGCTCTCGAGCTTCTTGACCATCTCGTTGGTGAGGTTGTGCGCTTCCTTGCCGTCTCGTGGTGGAAGAGTCGGCTCGTCCTCCTCTGGCGTAGGCTCTGTCGGTGGCTGCTGGGTAGCTGCCATGCAGAGGCAGTTCACAACCTCGTCCTCGAAGTAGTTCTGGTTCTGGCTCTTGGTCAGAGCCCTGAGGATCCGGCGGCACAGCATCTTGGGGTAGGAGCCCGAGGCCTCGGTCCTCAAGCTGCTCTCTATCTCCTCGTGGTAGTGTCCTCCACGGCACTGTAGAGGTTGTAGGGCTACCCAGATCCTCCTGTCATTCGTCAGGAACTTCCAGCGCTTCTTCATGAGCTCGCCCGTGTCAGGGGCTCGTAGTCCGCAGGCGCAGCCATCCACGATCACCTCGTACGGTAGGATCTTGTGGAGATCCTTCCAGCAGGTCTTCTGCCACGACCGACTGTTGTGGGGCTGCTCGGCGAGGGCCGAGCCGTTCAGGTTGAGCACCTGGTGCTCGATGAGCCTCTTGTTGTTCTCGAAGATCCGCTGGCTCTTGAGCCGCTTCCTGCGAAGGTTCTCCTTCTGTTGATCGTTGCGCTGGTTGACGTTCTGCATTATCGACCATGGACCGCAGGGTGGTGTACTGACGAAGAGCTCCGGGCGCTTCTCGTCTAGCAGGAACTTCGCCTTGTGGTAGCCCTGCGGCTTGCTGAGGTCGTTCTCGTTGAAGAGGCCGAGCCGCTCGTAGTGGTAGCCCTTCTCGTCGCACACCTTCCCGAGATTCGAGTCCTCGTGGGTGCACGCTTCGACCATCGTCAGGCGGCCGAAGGTTGCGAGGGCGCACATAGCTCCGAAAATGGCCGACCTCGTCGTATGTGTAGCTGCCCGTATCGCCTGGCGCTGGTGGCCCTTCAGCGGCCTGCTCTCGTCGCCGCGCCACCGAGACCTCTCGGCCTGAATCTCACTCAGGCCTTCGTCCTGACCGCACACGCCTGGTGGCACCAACCGTAGAGCCGCATCTTCACGATCGGCTCGTTCTTGGCGATGCATCGGCGTAGCTTGCAGTCCGGGTGCTGGCACATCTGAGTGTAGTGAGCTGAGATCGCCGGGCCCACGGGCATGGCCGTCGTCTCCATCTTCTTGGTCTCCGTCTCCTTCTTGATCTGGATAGTCGCTGCCGCCGTGCCGCGCTGCTCGATGATGTACGCGATGATCTTGTCGATCACCTCCTCCTTCATGCCAGTCTGGGTCAGTCCCCACATCTTGCACAGCGGCTTGAGATGGTTGACCAACGTGACCATGCTGAGCTGCTCGTGGATCTGCTCCGAGCTCAGCGCTGCAAACGCATCCACCTCCGCAAACTTGGTCAAGAAATCTAACTTTGCGGTCTCGATGGTGGCTCGCAGCTCTTGATTCTGCTCGCGCGCGGCTGCTGAGGCTGCTGACTTCTGGGACAGGGGGCGCTGCTTCGGCTCCGTGCACGGCTGGCGCGGCTCGATCTTCGCACGATGCTCGATGTCCGCCGGCCAGGTCGGGTACCTCTCGGGTAGCAACTGCACAGGTAGTCCGAGGCTGTCCAGCTTCCAGTTCACACGGTCGATCGTCTTGATGAAGACCTTCTGGATGATTCGTCCCCAGCGACGGCGCTGCGTCCACTGCTGGAGGAGCTTGCTGGACCACATCTCCCAGTTCGGTAGGTGCTCCTGCAGGAAGGTGTCCGTCATCCGCTTCATGCTGTTGTCCTGCTCCGAGCCCTCGATCGTGTAGAAGATGTGGCCCCTCACGTCCTGATGAGCGATCAGTCGCCCCTGCGGCTGCATCCGTTGTAGTGTAGGCCGTGCCGGCGTCGACGTGGAGGTCGCCGCCGATGATCCCGAGTCCAGTAGTGGGGCCCGAACATCCACCTGCTCCCATGGGCCATCCATCTCCTCGTTCTCCAGCTTGATCTGCTGGCTCTCTGCTTTGCGACATTTCGCCTCGCGGTTGAGGCTCATGCGAATATGTAGGACCAACTGGATGTTGTCGGAGCTCAGGGCTCGAATATGGAAGAATTACTGGTTGCTGAAATCGGAGCTCTGAGCTCGAATCGTTCGCGCCAAAAATGGCTCTTGGAGACGGGGATGTTTCTGTTTGGAGCTCTGGAAACTCTGGGATCTCCGGGAAGGCCTCTGGAGATAACTCCGATAATGCCGTAGGTGATGGAGCCGGGTCTGATACGGATGATGTCCCTGACGGAAGTGATGATGTCCCCGACGTAAGTGATGATGTCCCCGTACTTGTAAATGATGATGATGTTGCTGTAGGCGTAATTGGTGATGGTGCCCCCGTACTCGTAAATGATGATGATGTACCTGAGGCCTGTAGGGCTCCATTATCTGGGACCTCGTCGGGGAACTCCTGGGGCACCACTGTAGACGGTTTATCGTTCTCGCTTTTGATCGGCTGCTCTTTTTCATGTTTTCCCTCCGGCACCGTAGCAGTCTCGGGCGTCGAGGGCGTGGACCCCTACTCGAGAGATGCCACGAAGCCAAAATCGGCTTGTCGAACAAGTGGCAGTGCAAGATGACCGCTCGGAAGGACAAGCAGTTCAGCTCGGCGCCCGAGCTTCTTGAAGTAGACAGAATGCGCCTCGCAGTCGATCACAGCTCCTAGGCGGCTCAAAACATCCACTCCGATCAAGAGCGGGGCATCTGCGTCGAGGATGTTTATCTCGAGCTCGCCGTCCACACCGGCGATCATCAGAGGGAAGGTTGCCTTGCCGGTGCAGGTCTTGGCGTTGCCATCTCCAAAGATAAAGGTACTCTTCTGGCTAACGTCCATCTTGATGTTTTTGCCCGTCTGCTCATAGATGATATCGCGTAGGTTCTCGGCAGCCTCGATGCCCATGATGCTGGAGGTCGCGCCGATGTCCAGAATACCGAAGCCCTTGGAGGAGCTCTGCTTCACACTCATGAGGATCCAGTCGTCTAGCTTCTCCAGGGTTGGCCAGCTCGGTAGTTTCACATGATGGACTTGCTCCCGCCTCTCGATGGATTTCTCCACCTCTAGGTACATCGTCTTCTCGAGCTGTTTCTTCGGAAGCTTCGGTCGATTCTTGATCACTGGCTTATTGTTGAGCGTCGTCTCCAGCTCCAGGCGCGAGGTCTCGTTCCTGATGAGATTCGCCTCCATCTCGGCGTCCTGCTCGGCGCCGAAGAACACGTGGGCTCCGAAACCTCGCTTGGGTCGTTCCCGATCTTTGCTGCTGGTGGAGGAAGCGCGGTCTTTGTGATCCTTAGTCTCGTGATTGCCGCCGCACTTCAGACAGGGTCCCTTGCGGGGCGGCCGGCCCTGGGAGCGATCTCCATCACGTCGGGGCGGTACATCGCGTCGTTGTCCGCTCCCTCGGCCTCGTCCTTTCGATGATCCAGAGCCTCGGGATCCAGCTCGAGGTCCCTGGAACTTGCGCTGTCCTCCGCGTCCTTCTCGCCTCTTGTTCTCATCCACGGGGTAGAACTTCCTGGCGGTCTTCACTCGTCGGAGTAGATCTCGAGCTTCTTCGAAACTGCGCTGCTGGGCGGCGAACGCGGTCTCGGCCTCCTCGATCTCCTGGGCGCTGTAGAGCGGCTCCTCGGGATCTCCTTCGTCCTCGTCGCCGTCCGCGTCCTCATAGGTGGCCTCCGACTGGTCGCCATCGTAGTAGCTGTAGTCGTCGTCGTCCTCGCTGTTCTCCTCCCAGCCGGCATGGATCCGACCTCGCTCGCGATGGCGATGGTTGTCCTTGCCGTGCTTCTTATCTCTGTTCGTCAGCTCGTCATCTGGCCAAGATACTCTTAGCTGCTCGCCGATGCTGTCGTAGTCGAAGTTGCCTTTGACTGCGCTGATAACTGCCGCACGCTCCGTCGGGGAAAGTCTTGATCTCTGCAGCAGTAGCCATCCGCGCAGCCGGTCAAGGGGAATCGCCTGTTTGAAGTCGGTTCCGAAATCCGGATGCTCGGGGATCTCCTCAAGACCTGTCCGGATGAAGTTCCAGAGCTGGTGGTTCAACTCCTTGGCCTTGTCGGCGGCGTCCTCCGGGCCCTCCTGCTCGATCTTGTACAAGAACCAGTTGAGCTCCGAGTAGAGGGTGTTCCATTCCTTTGACCTTGCCGACAGCCGAGCCGTGCGCTGCTTCTTGAAATACTCGGTGTCGAAACCCTTGACCACGTCGTGGTAGGCCTCATCGTTCTTGCTTATGTAGCTCGGCATTGGCTCTCCAGTGTCTCGACGAAGATCGAAGATCCATCGGGCCAGATATTTGCCTGCATCCTGGATGGGCTGAGCACCGAGCTTGGCACGAATGTGTCGCAGTAGCTCAGCTGCACCGTCGTCTCTCTCAATGCGGTCCCAGTCCACATCCTTGGCTGCTTGTCGTGCTCGACCTTCCAATCGTCTCCACAACCGAGGGCCGCATACATATCGTTCATCTCGACGGGTTCCTCGGATGTAAGCTTTGACGTCTCTCTCGTAATCGTCCACCGTGGTGAGATCTCCGTTCCACTTCGGTATGATGTCATCGTTGTTATTGTTATTCCTCGTCATGACTCAAACGATGAACTTCTATCCGTGAATCTGTAATCCGTGGAGCTTGAGAGCTCCGCTACCATGCAATGGTCCCGCTTAGAACCACTGCCCTGATAGCAATCCTTGATGATGCTACTCTCTTCTCTGCTCTGACCACGTGTCGAGGGTACCGTTGGCGGTCGGGTCGAATATGAGGGCAGTGACTGTGCGATGCTGATCGCACTGTGGTGATGAACAGGATCTGTTTATCAGCGGGCAGTTCGCTGTCCTGCGTCTCTCGGACGCACACCAGAAGTCCAGCGTCGCTGAGACGCTGCAAAGGCTTGAGCCAGAACGGTTTCGGATGAACCTGTTCTGGGATATTATAATGGGGATCTCGGAGGATCTCGGAGGGCCTACTAAGCAAGGCTGGCTGCAACCTGGAGGCTAAAGGGGGCCCGATTCGCCGGGAAACGCTTGGTTAACATACATGGGGCTCCTTTGGAGCCTGAAGCTTATATCACGCACGGCCTCTAGAGGCCATCTGTCGTAAGTAGGCTCTAGTGAGGCAGGCTCGGGGCTGTGAATTGCACCCTGGACCTGTGGCACCATGGACCACCACGGCCCTGAGGCACTCGCTCCTGCTACCTGTACGATGGCACAACGTTGCACTTCGTCTCAGCGTCGCTCTCCTCGCTCTCCCTGATCCCTGACGCAGCATGGTTGCAAGGCGCGTCACCTCTCGCCGCCAACTCGAGGCTGGTGTAAATGATGAGCCGTTGACGGCAACACCAACCACAACATTTTGCTTCAACCGGTACTCCGCCACCGGGTTCATGGAAAAGGCGTTCCTTTGCAAGTACGTCGGCTAATTACGGCACCGCCTGATTCCGAGGCTTTGCCTCCTCCTGGCCTCGTTCTGAGGCTGCGCCCCCCTTTTCCCTCCCCATCTCTGGTATTCAAGCTTCGCGCGGCCCGCTTAGCTTCGACCGGAAGAGGTGCGCTCTCGACCCGCGAATCAAAAAAAAGTTTCAGGCTGGACGAGGAGGAAAGCCGAGTGTAATGACGAGCGACGAACCTCTGCAATGCCGCATGGAAAAGCCAGCAGTGACCCTGGACTCGGGACTTGGGCAGATGGGGGGAGAGGGTGAGGACGAGGAGGGAGAGTGGGCACCACGGTTGCCAAAAACGGCAGACCGAAACATAGACTGCTTACAACTCTGGCCCATGCGGGCACAGGCCACAATGGGGTAGAGGACCAGGAGGGAGGAGAGGGGGAGAGAAGCTGAGAAGTACTCCAAAACACCTAGAGCAGCGATAAGGCCAACCCGCCATAGGCGAGCCGTTGGCTGCACCCGAGATCTTGCGAAAACAAGATCAGAGCCCAAGCTCCGTGAATTACCGCGTAAACTTGAAAACCCGTCCAGTAGTCTCAGGAGACATTTTTCGACCCCTCTGAACTGAAGACTTCGACCCCTCTGAACTGCAGCCATCGGCCATCGTGGGCGGTCTGCTGCCAGCTCTCCTCAGGATCCTCGTTAGCCTCACCCTCCTCCTACTCCTCTCCCTATCCTCAACGCACTGAGCCTCCATCTTCTCTTCCTCATCATCATTCATCCTCCTCCTCCTCCTCCTCCTCCTCCTCCAGCCGTTCCTCCAGGTACTCCTCCTCCTCATCCTCATCATCATCCTCCTCCCCCTCCCCCTCCCCCCCCCTCCTCCTCCTCCTCCTCCTCCTCCCCCTCCTCCCCCTCCTCCCCTCTTCCTCCTCCTCCTCCTCCTCCTCCTCCTCCTCCTCCTCCTCCTCCTCTCCTCCTCCTCCTCCTCCTCCTCCTCCTCCTCCTCCTCCCCCCCCCCCCTCAACATCCTCCTCCTCCTCTCTTCCGCCCTCACCTCCCCAACCGAAACCTTGCTGTCTCTTCTGGCCATTGTTCGTCCTTCTTGCGAGGCGGTGGTACATCCAGATCCACCACCCGTCAAACCGAAGTCATGGGACCCCAGCGGGAAGTGGAAATGGATGTATTGGGGCCCCAGGGGGCCCGAATACGTAGCACCCCGCAATTGCGGATAAGAGTGAGGGGGCGGGCGCGGGCGACGCGGGCGTCGTCGAGCCGGCGGACCTCGTGGCCCCCACCTTCCTTGTCGATGGCGCTCTCCTCCACCTCCTCCTCCTCCTTCTCCTCCTCTTCCTCCTCCTTCTCCTCCTCCTCTTCCTCGTCCTCATCGTCATCGTCATCCTCCTCCTCCACCTCGTCCTCCTCCTCCTCCTCCTCTTCTTCCTCGTCCTCCCTCTCCCCCCCTCGTCTTTTCATCATGGTCCTCCCATTGTCGTCCTCCCCCTCATCGGCCTCCATCATCGTCCTCCCATTGTCGTCATCATCATCATCATCCTCCCCCTCCTCCCCCTCCTCGTCCTCCTTCTCCCCCTCCTCCCCCTCCTCCCCCTCGTCCTCCTGCTCCTCCTCCTTTTCTTTCTCCACGTTCTCCTTACATCCTCTCTTCTTCCACGTTCTCCTCGTCCCCTGTTTACTCATCCTGCCTCCCCCTCCTTTCCCAAGATAACTGCAACGCAATCTTTTTTCCACTTTATGCTCCCCGCCTTCTCTGATCAAGGCAACTCGCCAGGGCAAAGTTGCTGGACGGGCTGGCGTGGATGTGCGGGGCGTGAAGAGGTCCTTGCGGGCTCAGACGGCATGCAAGAATCCGCCGCCGCGCTTGTGCGGCATTGGTTTGTTCAGTGAACGTGGTTTAGGTCGCGGGTGGGTCGCGGGCTCTCCACCTCCACCTGGAAGGAATGCAAAAGCAGCCCGCCGCAAGCGCCAAAAAAATTGGTTCGTACACGGAACGAGGTTTGGGTCGCGGGTGGGCCGCGGGTTCTCCACAGGGAACGAATGCAAAGGATGCCCGCCGCAGGCGCCGAAAATGTGGTTTGTACCCTGAACGTGGTCGCGGGTGGGCCGCGGGCTCTCCACCTGAAACGAATGCAAAATATGCCCGCCGCAGGCGCCGAAAAATGTGGTTTGTACCCTGAACGTGGTTTGGGTCGCGGGTTGGTCGCGAGTTGGTCACGGGATGTGTCGCGGGCTCTCCACTTGGAAGGAATGCAAAAAAGCCCGCCGCAGGCGCCGAAAATTGTGGTTTGTACCTTGAAAGTGGTTTGGGTCGAAGGTGGGTCGCGGGTGGGTCGCGGGGTAGGTCGCGGGTGGGTCGCGGGTGGGTCGCGGGTGGGTCGCGGGTGGGTCGCGGGTGGGTCGCGGGGTGGGCCGCGGGGGGGTTGCGGGGTGGGTCGCGGGTTGGGTCGCGGGGTGGGTCGCGGGGTGGGTCGCGGGGTGGGTCGCGGGGTGGGTCGCGGGTGGGTCGCGGGTGGGTCGCGGGTGGATCGCGGGGTGGGTCGCGGGGTGGGTCGCGGGTGGGTCGCGGGGCGGGTTGCGGGTGGGACGACGACAACAAACAACAACAACAACAAACAACAACAGCAACAACAAGAATCCGCACCGCGGAATTCCACATCAGCCACGCACCCAGGGACAGTGAATGACCGTTCGGCCCCCTCACTCTGATATCCAGATCCACCTCCTGTCGAGAGCTCCGAAAATCGGTTCTCCTGGGGGCGGTCATGTAGAGAAATCCGCCGAGCCTGTCGGCCTGCAGCCTGTGTGAGGAACTCGTCTGTCCGAGTCGTCGTCTCCGTCAGTCGTCGTCTCCGTCGATCCCATTCCCTGCACCATCCTCCTTGAGCATGTCAGCGAGTGGAAAATCCAGCAATGTCGCAATCGAGTCGAAGAGAAACCCTTTCCCTTTGATCCCTCCCCCGTCGGGAGGGGAGGTCCAGGGGAGGGGGGGATCCCAGGGGGGGGCGGGTCCCGGGGGGCCTGGGGCCTAACAAACAAGACAGGCCAAGAATGCCCCGGGAGGTCACCGAGACAGTCCAAAGGAGCCCTCCAATCGCCAAACGATCCGTCAACGCCTTCACGCCCTCCAGACTTCCAAAGAAGCCTCCAATACGCCCCCAAAGGCCTCCAAGAGCATTCCCGAGAGCGCCCCGGGCCCCAGGAGGCAACAACACTCATAGACTTCCCGTAAAAATTCAAAGAACTGGACTCGCCTTTTCCGCTTCCCGCCGTTCCAAGATGGCCCAAGAGGCCACTCAAATCACGCCAAGACGGCCCAACAGGTCTTCAAGAAGCCTCCAAAGCAGCCCAAGAGGACCCCAAGACAGCCCCAAACGCCTCCAAGACTGCCCAAGAGGCCCCCAAGACGGCTCCAAGAGCGTGCCCAGACGGGGGACCCGAACGGACATTTCGAGCCCTCGGCCCGAGCCAGGCTCCCAGCGTTCCCAAGAGACCCCGAGAGGCCCACAAGAGGCCCCCAGGAAGCCCGAAGAGGCCCTCAAGAGGCCCCCGAGAGGCTCCCAAGAGGCCCTCAAATTCCTCCCCAGATGCCTCCGAGAGCCTTTCGAAGAGACCCCAAGAAGCATCCCTGAGGACTCTGGCCCACGTCAGCATCGTCATCGTCGCAGCCGCCGCTGCCGTCACCGTCGTCGTCGTCGTCGTCGTCCCCCTTCAGGGTCGGCGGCACCGGCCGTAAGGCCTTCGCACTCCCCGCTTCGTCCATCTCCTCGAAGTAGGGACTGCAGGCCGCCGCCAGAAAAAGGCAACGTGGACGCAAGGCGCCGCGCGAGCCTATCACGAAGGTGGCGGTCTTGCCCGTTCCGGACTGCGCCTGGCCAAAGGGGCGGATGGCTTCTGCTGCTCGCCAGGTTTCCGCTTCCACCTCCAGCTCCCTATCCCTGATTCTCCTCCTCCTCATCCAACTCCCTATCCCTCCCTGTTCCGACTCATCCTCGTCCCTCCCCCACACCCAATGTCCTCTCCTCCCCCTACTCCTGCCCTCCTCCGCCCCCTCCTCCTCCTCCACCTCCACCGCAAGCCCTCCCTCTCACACTACATATGCACCACCGTGCCTGCGGCACGTTGAGGCGTGGAAAAATGCCAAGGGCTGCCTGGAACTTCTAAGGGACCCCCCTACCCGCCGCGTCACGCTTACCCGACTGCATCACCTCTACACAAAGGGGGGTCCCTGAGCGGCCGTGGCGCCTCCCTGGGGCTCTCCAAGGCTTTCACGACGGCCCAGGAGGCCCCCAAGACGGTCCTAGAGGGCCCCGAATCGCCGAATGATCGCTCGAAGACGCCAAAGTTGGCCTCAAGATGGCCCAAAAGACCTCCAAGATGCCCCAAGAGGTCTTGAAGAGGCCTCCCAAGAGGGCCCTACGAGGCAAGAATCAATGACTGTCTTTAGGTTGTTGAAAGATGGTGGCGTTCCCGCCCTTTCGGCTTTCCGACGCTCCAACACGGCACGAGAGGCGCCCAGACCATCTCAAAACGGCCCAAGAAGCCTCCAAGAGGGCCCCGAGACAGCTTGAGAGCGCCCCAAGACTGCCCAAGAGGCGCCCAAGACGGCCCGAGAGGGCCCAAAGACTGCCAAAAAAGGGGGCCAAAAGAGGAAACACGACACGAAAATCCGATCACTCGCCCCAAGAGGCCCCCAAGAGGCCCCCAAAAGGCCCCAAGAGGTCCCCAAGAGCCCCCAAGAGGCCCCGACACGGTCCCCAACAGGCCTCACAACTGCCTCCAAGAGGCCCCCGGGGGGGAGTCCCACGAGATCTTAACGAACATCCAATAAGATTCGTACCCACAAACCAGGCACGGTGGCGGGACTCGCCGTAGGCAGCTGGATTGCAATCGGTAATCGTCCTTTCCCCTCTGCTCACCATGACCCCTTGCCACCAGAATCATCAACACTATCACAATTCTCATATATCCTCACCATCCTCAGCCTGAGTGTCATCACCTTCGTCAGCAACTTCAGCAGCATCATCATAGTCCGTCGCCTCATCAACGATATCGACCGACTCGTTATGATTAGATCCTGATCCGTCCTGTCACCCCTGTCACCCAGCTCATTCCCCCTCTCGCTCACCATCTACATTTGCATTGTCGTACATCTCGCTCTCATCTGCATAGTCATTATCATCATCCTTCTCAGTCTCTCCCTCGCTGACCCCCTCCATGTCCACCATTATCGTCATCCATTCCCTCTTCCTCCACCCCCTATCACTCTAATGTTCGCTCTCCCCCCCATTTTCACCCATCTTACTCCATCTCCTCCTCCTCCTCCTCCTCCTCCTCCTCCTCCTCCTCCTCCTCCTCCTCCCCTTCCGCATCCTCCTCCTCCTCCTCCGCCTCCTTCCCTTCCAGATTCCTCCTCCTGCTGCTACTCCTCATCATTATCACTTTGACCTCCTCCTCCTCCTGCTCATCCTCCTCCTGCTCCTCCCGCTGCTCCACAGCCCCATTTGCCGCTTCATTGTTTGCCACGATCTTCACCTTTCCCTTCACCTCCTCCACTACGTATCATTCCTCTTACATGATCGTCGTAGTCATCATCACATCCTCTACCGTAACAACTATCACCATCTTCAATGACCATCATGAGCATCCCTCTGACGATCCCTCCTCCACAGTCTGCCTGACATCCGCCTGAACCTCCTTCTCCTCCACCTCCTCAGCCTCCTCCTCCGCACCCCAAATTGCGCCAGATGCAGATGAGACTTCTGAAGGAAACCAGTTTCGAGGACAACAATGCTGGAGGCAATCGCAACACTATTCCAACTGTTTCTTCTCATTACAGAAGGCGAACGGCGCCTATCATAATGCCAGCTATTCTCACAGGCCGTGGTACGATTGGAGACCCAGACACCCGACGATGTGATACGCCAGAGGGGTCCGACCCTTCCCCGAGCGCAATTCGTTGATCGCAAATTCATGTGTGATTGTCCAGGGCCCGACGAGGGGACGATCTTGGAGCAGAGCCAATCAGAGATGTGGGGGGGGGGCGACTGAGCCTTGGGCTATTTCTGGGCATCTCGAGGGCCTGCCAGGGTGTCCGTGCGCCTCCCTGGCCCCCTCGGTGGTCGACCGACCGACCCAGGGGCGTAGAGCGAAAGCGCGCACTGGCCTGTGCGGCACACCCAAAGGCCTCCAGAGGTCTCCGCGGAGATCCCTGGACGGCCCCAGAGGTCGCCGTCGGCCTCCCGAGTCATCCTGCGGCTCAGAAAATCGAGACGTCCAACTTCCCCCAGTTTTCGACCTGCAAGGACCGCTACTACAACCGATCCGGGACGAAGGGCAGGTCCCGGAAAAGGTGCCGAGAGCTCTGGGGACCCGGTGTACTGAAAACGTCGGAGGTCTGCACGGGCCGGCGTCCGGTGTCCCCAGAGGCCTCAAGAGGCCTTCGTCTCTGAAACCAGGACTATCGACAGGAGTCGTGCAGGAAAGCAAGTCATAGAAACAACACTAGAATCAACACCAGAAACAACAGATGGTGAAAGGGTCGACAGGGACTGGGTGCCAGACGGAACAGAGCCCGAGAACGCCCACTGGCACCCAGACGGGAACAGAGCCCGAGGACGCCAACTGGCAGCCAACCAGCTGCCGCTGAGCCCTCAGGGCATGTTGCTGGGCGCGTAGGCGCGCACGGCTCGTATCGTACTCAACGCCCATCGATCCCCGCGCGGCCTGCCCGATGGTGTCACGCCCGTCCAAGATCGGCTTGATCCCGCGCTGCTGGATGGCGCTGGGCTTCTCAAAGCCGTACGAGTAAATGCCTGCTGGGGAGGGAGGGAACCGACTGGGCGGGCGGTGAACTCATCCTCTTTATCAAGGGCAACGTCAGGGGGGGACCGGCTCAGCGGGGCAAACATCGACCTGGAATCGGCGACACATCGCCGATGGATCGGCGATAGGCCCCCGATAGCGAACTCGGACATTTCTGGGCGGGGGAGGGAGTCGGGCCCCTGTCGGCGATGAATGGGCGATTGGGGGTCGATGCATCCCCTCCTGAGCCTATCCCCGCCCCCAACAATTCCCCACATCTTTTGCTTCGGCATCAGGGGCTCTGCCGTATGCCGCCAGTCTCATCTCCCCCCCTTGAGGAGACAAAGTAGCGACGAAACAACAGGCCTCACGCACGATGGCATCTCGACTTCGCGCAGCGACTTGCGCGGGCCGCCAGCGCGGCATGCTACAGTGGAGACGGAAAGAAAAACAAATAACTACATAAATAAAAACTTTCCCGTTCCGCGCGGATTTCTTGGATCCGTGCTGGACCCCACTCCATGGCGCGCGGAGCGCGCCAGTGGCGGCGCCGGAGGCGCCGCCAGGGGGCCTAGCGCGGATCCAAGAAATCCGCGCGGAGCGCAAACAGTCTATGCTTATGGCGTTTGATTCTTCGAATTACGCAGCGGCTTACGCTGGCCGCACGAGCGGCACGCTACATTGGAGACGAGGGCGCTTATGCGCGACCGTACGCGAGCAGCTTGCGCGCCAATGCCGGCGTCGCCAGCCCCGCATTGCGTCGCGCAGGCGCCTGCCGACGGGGACCAGGGCGTCCGCCCTGGCGGGGAGGACGCCTGACCTCCCAGGCGGCTCTCGAAAGGACTCGTACGGGAGGTGTCCTATGCCGTTATGCGGAGCGGCGAGCGGCCAACAAAACCTCGACGAAGGTCCTTCGAGCGGTCGACCTTGGCGGTCGGGCAGGTGGTAACGCGGGGGGTGACCTCCATGGGGGGTGGAGAAGAGGGCCCCCTCCTTCACACCCATAGGTCACACCGGGACGAACGAACACGCTCCCCGCGGGAAAGAAGGTCCCAAACCTCCGACGTCTTTCTTTTTGTCCGTGGGTTTGGGCGCCCGAGTTATCCGGGGTAACTCGGGTCCGGGGTAACTCGGGTTTGGATTCCCGAAAAAGGAATCCGAGTTATCCCTGACCCGAGTTACCCCTGATGATTCGGGGCTCTGGACGCCCGAGTTATCCGGGGTAACTCGGGTCCGGGGTAACTCGGGTTTGGATTTCCGAAAAACGAACCCGAGTTATCCCTGACCCGAGTTACCCCTGATGATTCGGGGCTCTGATGGGTGCCCCTCCCCCCCTGGGCGCTCCGCGGAGGAGGTTCTCGTGCAGGTCGTAGTCGTCGAACGACTCGAAGACGGGGTACTCCTCGGCACCGGTCACGGTGACCCCCTCGCCGGACATCCTGCCCGGCCACCGTGCCAAGAGGGGAGAGGGGAGGACGAGGAGCAGGAGGAGGTTGGGCCTTGTCGCTTCCTTCGCTTCGCGTGAACGGATTTTGATGAGCTGTCCCTCGAATTCCTTCCGATAAATTTCCGATGCCGCCGTGAGGTGGAGGAGAAGGAGGAGGAAGAAGAGGAAGAGGGAGGATAAGGAAGAACGACGGGAGGACGAGTGAGGAGGGAGGAGGGATAAGTAGGGAGGTGGTGACCCCCTCGTGTGGTGAACGAGGAGGAGAAAGAGAGAGAGAGAGAGGAAGAAGAGGAAGAGGAGAAACCGAACTGCTGTGCAGGGTCGGGTCACGATCACGAGCCACCACACCCGCACCCCATCAACAAGGCCACTGTCACTACCAGAGTCATACACTTTACTGCACTTGCAATGCGAAGTCGCGCCACCAATAAACACATGGGCCGATGTAAAAACAGCCGAGCAAGCATGTAAAAGGTGCTGGACCCACGCGAGGAAAAGAACCACGACAATCAAATCACCGAATCCGTGGTCGAATAGGAGGTTCGCGGGAACGACATGTCACCGTGATACCCTGCGCTTGGGACCAAATGCCTCCACCAAACGTCTCAATCGATCGTGGCCCGCCCGACAAGCAATTATTTCTCACACGCTGGTTCGACAAATCCATTGCTGACGATTGCGACTCGTATGCTATAAAAAATCCGCCGATCTTGTCGGCGAGGGCGGGAGGCTGTTTCGTTTGACTCGTCGTCGTCGTCGTCGCAACAGCCAAGAGGCCTCAGAACGCTCTCAAAACGCTCCACAAACATCCTCAAAACGTCGTGGGGGTCATTGGGCACCTCTTGGGAGCCTCGTGTAGCCTCGGGCTCTCTTGGGATCGTCTGACCCGGACATTCCCGAACGTTTTTTCCATCGTGGGGGTCGTCGTCATGGGTCCGCGGCACTGGCTGCAAGGCCCCAGCGACATGTACGGGCGGGCCGGCAGGCCGCTTTACGTGGCACGTAGCGTGCGGGGCTGAGAGGCAAAAGCCCTGGGAACAAAAACATGTTCGCGGCGGCTGGAGGCCAAGCGCGTCACAGAGCGGCAAAGCTGAACATCCTGGTCCCGGACAAATTCATGGGGTACGCCCCGAACTTTTTACGTCGAAGCGCAGCAGAAGCAGTCCGCACGCGCGTCCACGCAATCTGGGCTACCGTATTGCGAATTGTCCCCCGTGCAAAAATAAGGGAGAAGACGAGAGGCGGCCGCGGAGACAGAAGGCGAAGCAAGAAAGCGCTCTCACGCGGCGAAGCCGAGGGGGGGCGCGCCCGGGGCGGCCGGAACGCAAGGCAGGCCCTGGTAGCGAACGAGGGGCGGCGTCGCGGGCGCAAGCAGCAGAGGAGCCGGCGGCCGCAGTGCAGGGCGGGGCCCAACAACTGGGGAGCTGCGGAAGCAGCGGGCCGCCAAGGTGGCGGGACATGGGCGCGGCGAGGGAGGGCTGGTGGTGCCAGGCGCCCGGCTGCCGCAGAACGGCGCGTGGAGGCCAAGCAGAAGGCCATGGGCCGCGGGGTGAGAAAAAAGAGGCAGCAAGCCGAGTCCAGGGCCGGCACGCGCATCACAGCCGAGAGGGCGGCGCCCAGCGGAAGCGGAAGCTGACGGTCTGGACGCGGGTATTCGTCGGGCAGCCGAGAGGCAAAAAGGGAGAGCGCCGCAGCGGCAGCGCTCTCCCAAAGTGGGGCAGCGCGAGCTGCCGGCAGGGTTCAGTAGCCAGCCTGCCTGCTGGGCCCTGTCGGCATGCGTGTGGCGGCGTGTGCGCCAAACGAAGCAAGGGTAAACGGGGCCCCAAGCAGCGACGCGGGAGGCGAGTGCACCCGCAGCAGAGCCAGGGGCGCACCACCTGGGGTGGATGGCGCGCACTTCCCAGGGAGGAACGGAACCACAGCGGGAGAAAGGCGCTGGCACCCGGGGAGGATACTGCGCCCGCGGGACGGTAAGTAGCGCACCACCTGGGGTGGATGGCACGCTGAACTTGGGGTCGTCCTGCGCCCTCGACCCCGCGGCACCCACCTCACGCCGAATCCAGGTATAGCGAGGTCGAGCCAGGGACGCGACGAACGGCTGCAAGAACAGGTGGACCACAGCGCGCCGTGGCCTGAGGCCCCCAAACATGACCTGGGTTGGAACGCTTGGTCCCAGCAGGGCTGGCGGAGGACATGGCCCCAGCCTGGCGCATGCGGCAGGGGCGGATCTCCCGCAAGGCTGGAGGGGCATCCGTGTAGCTCATTCGCTCTGTACAGACCAAGGGCGCGACTAACCGACGCACCGACAGGTGTATCAGCGCGCCAGCAAGACTTGGGCTGGCGTCGCTGGGTTCCCCCAGGTACGACTGCAAGGCATGGCTGTGGCCGACGTTGCCTGTGTGTACGGGACCTCCGCGGGCCTCATCTCCAGCTTCGCCAAGAAGGTGGTCTGAGAGTCATGTTCAATCATGCCCGGGTTGCGACTAACCGCCGCGGAGACGGGTTGATCGGCGCACGCCTGGGCCTGAGGTTCACTGGAATGGCCTGGGCTGGCCACGTTGCGTCCCGTCAGACATGGAGCATGGAGGCAAGGCGGGACAGGGCCTCATGCCCAAAATGGGCGCGGAGATACCGTCAGGCTCAACAACATGACACGCCAGGACCAGGGTTCCGAGGCGAGTCCAACTGCGGCGACAAGGGAGGCGTCGCCCTCCTCCAACAGAGGCGACCAGATCACGGAAACCCGCCCCATAGGAAAGTGCGGCATTGCTCTCACGCCCGGTCGGCGGCAACAGGCCCAGGTCTTCGTTATCAACCAGCCTTTCGCCCGACCAGGATCCCGAAGCGATTCCAACCGTCCGCGGGGCCCACCGCCATCGCCGGCATCGCCTGGGAGCTGGTCTGTAATGCCATTTTCCTTCGTCGTACCAGGCTTGCGACTACCCGCCGCGGAGACAGGTTGATCGGTGCACGCCTGGGCCTGTGAGGTTCAGCAGCACGGCCTGCGGTGGCCACGCTGGGGGCACGCCCCGAACGAGGGGAGGCCATCTAGCACGGCAAGGGCCTAACTGTCCATGCGGGCCACACAAATGTCAACATGCTCCACAGCTATATGGGATCTCGGCCGGCGAGTCATAGCAACCGAATCGGGAGAACACAGCTGGGCGCCATCGCCGGGAATCAAGTCAGCGACCCTTTTTATGCGTGGTCATGCACGCCGCCTGGACAAACGACACTACAGCACATCTGCTGAATAGTACCCGAGATCACGGGCCTTGAAATGAGCGCGCTTCCGAATACCTTTCTTTACTTTTCGGATGGGGGCGAAAGAGCGAGAACGCCCACATAACTTCACCCGACTCGGCCTCGATTGCTGCGCGAGTCGCAAGGTCGCCATGCAAACTTGGAACACCTCACGAACCGACCTGCGATAGACAACCACCTACATTGAATCATGGCTTGAAGGCTGAGCGGGGGTGCCTGCGAAACACGAGGAAAGAGCGAGGATAAGAGAACGCCAGGGAGTGATTGAGGTACAACGAAGCGAGATGCTTAATGCGACCCATCGACGGCTGGCACTAAACGCCAGCTATACCAGCACAACCGGGCACGCACGAACAATGAAACAACAAAGACTCCGCAAACCGCTCCGGCAAGGCGGGCAGGGCTCGCGAAAGCTGAGGCTCACCACTGAGCCACAGGATGGGGCGCATCGCGCTTTTCTGCTGCAGTTGGAAAAAAAGAATGATGAAGAAAGAGAAGGGCGGTAATAGGAAAGCAGGGCACCAGGACAAAGTCTGGTGTACCAGGCGGTGGTGCACAGTTGAAGCCTAAGCCCTCGAGTGGCAGGGCACGGCTGCGAATGAACGTGACGCCCAACGAACCTAGTGACCTAGTGAACATCGAACCCGGGAAACCCCAAGTGGCAGGGCGCGGCCGGCAACCCCGAAGCTGGCGCGACCGAGGGGCCTCAACGCACGACATGCGCTGACGGGGCGGCGCCAGTGCCCTTGCGCGGTAGCCGCCCCCGGAAGCCGAATGCCTCTCCCTGCAGCCACGAGGAGGAGAGGAGAGGGGGGAGAGAGGGGGGAGGGGATGCAAAAACGACTTCCCCCAGCGACGCCGCAGGCGCGCCGCGGCTGGAGCAGGCCGACGCAGTTTCATCTGCGTGGGCCAGCAGGGCGGCAGCCCATCAAAGACGCCAGCCGACCGAGCATGCAAACACGGAAGGAAGAGAGGGGGGGAGGGGAAGGAAGAAAGCAGGAAAGAGAAACGGCGAGACTCATGCAACATGAAGGTGGGGTGGCACAGAAATACTGCGCATTGAGACACTCCTTACAAATAGCTCTATAGGCCAGGGACATGAACATCTGTCTCGACACACTTCATAACGCCATTGCGACCACCGCGGGTGATCACTGCCAGCGCCAGCTGTGCACAGTGGGGCGTGAGGCAAGCTCGCAACCTCCATACAACACATGTGACGATTCTAGCTTGCCTGGCTCTCGTATGTGTTCCCCACCACGACAGTTATCAATGGACACGTGTTGGCGGACCACCATGGATGCGAACATTGTGGCGCCAACGGAAACCTGCCGATCTCTGCTCTGCATATTGAAAGTGGGTATGCGAATTCCCTTCCGGCGCCATGCTGACTGCGGGGTTCGTGGCGCGCACCCTGTCGCTGGCGACGCAGTCTGACGCGGGGGGGGAAAAGGCGCTGGGCTGCTACCGCGGACGACAACGACGAAGAACGGAGGAAAGGAGGAAGGAACAACCTCAGCTATGCCGCGCTGCGGCCAAGAACGAGGCGAGGCGAGGGTGCGCAGCACAAGCTTCCCTGGCGCAGTGCCACATGGCCTCCCACGCGTTGGAAGTGGCCCCGTGGCGCGCCGCCGTGGAAGCTGCGTAAGGACAATACACTGCCAAGGCACGGCGAGCGATAGCGCCCGCCGTGTCTTCGGACAGCCAGGGGGAGAGAAGCAGAAACTG